ATCCCCCTCCCCCCCAACAAACCCACCCGTCCTCAGGCTGCTGCAATGACGACTTCAGTTGCGAGAGCTCCCCGCTATGTTGTCGTACGTGGTCCAGAGCCGCCCGGATGAACTGGGGCAGGGTGGTGGCGGTCAGGAGCTGTACGGACGCAGGGCCCAGCTGGGTCGCCAACACGGCCTCGCGACTTAGGGCCGAGTAGTTGAAGTTGTTGACAGTGCTGCGGAGGTGGGGTAGGAGGGGTAGGAGGGGTTGGGGACGGGCGGGGAAGTCAAATAAGGGTGGTAAGGAGGATGGTGTACGTACGGCACATAGGTGGCTCATAGTGTGGCACAGATCGTACGTGTCGTATATGGAACTCACGTGTCTTCCTTGATCTGCCCCAACTTGATCTTGAGGGACTGCTCCACCACCTCCGAAGCCACCCCCAGGGCTTCCGTACTGAGACCGTTTGTCCGGAGCAAATCATCCTTTCAGCCGGTGGGGCCGACGAAAACGGGCGGGGGGGGGGAAAGAGGGAGCCAAGGGGGGAAGGGCGAAGGTAAAAGGGGGTAAAGCTGGGAGGGGGTGGGGGGAGAGCTATGAGAGTGGGGGCTCTATCGGTTGAGACGCGAGACAAGGATCTGCAGCGCGGGGGCCTGAGGGGCTGCGGGGCTGCGGGGGAAGGCAGGTGTAAAACCCCATGTCACCTGGGGAAAACAGGTCCGTCTATCAGTCAGCACAAAACACAAACAAAAACATACATACATACAAACGTACATACAAACGTACATACACACACAGAACTGGTAGGTCCCGAGCCCGTCGACAAATGGGACATGAAGCAATTCAAAAATATTTCACGGATATGTTCCTGTACTACAACACCGTAGCAACAAACACTCGTACGGCAGTATTTGTCGGCGGCTCCCTTTCCCCCCTCCAAGCCCCCCTCCACCTGCGCTGCCGCCACTCTGTCGTGGTACGTCCTGAGGTTGGCCTCCGTGGCCGCCGCCAGGTGGCGCAGCTGGGCCTCAATCACCTCGGGCGGCAGCGTCACTCGCATCCAGTAGTCGGCAGATTGCGCTGCAAAGGTCCGCGGCGGGGTGGGGGGGGAGAAAGGAGAGCTTGTGGGGTTGGGTTGGGTTGGGTTGGGTGGTGTGTGTGTGTGTGCGGGAGGGAATGTCAAGTCGCCAGAGCGGGTTCGGGGGGAAGAGTTGCCTCTTCTCTCGGGCGGGAGGAAGGAGCGGTGGCCGCGGTGTCCACCCCTTTCCCACCCCACCTCTCACTCTTCTTGAAATCGCCTACCCCCGGGTATGACATTTTTTCGTGCCGCCTCCGGGTCCATACACACTCACGGTCACATACATACATACATACATACATACATACAGCCACTCACTCGTGCGCTGAGTGTTAGCGCCACTCGCCCCGCAGTTGCCGTTCGGTGACCCCGGCGGCGGCGGCAGCTGCTGTGATGGAGATTGCTGTGTTGGTTGTTGTTGTTGTTGTTGCCGTCCCAAGCTGCCGGTGCGACTCATACTAGGCAGATTTAATAAGCCACGGTGGCTGCTACTGCCGCCGCCGCCGCCGCCACCGCTGATGGAGCCTCCGGCGGCGGTGCCGGACCCAAGGCCGGCGGCAGCGGCGCTGCCGCCGCCGCCACCGCCGCCACCCGACATTGCGGGCGCACTGGCGCGGTTGATAATGGAGGCGGATCTGGAAAGCATCGCGCCGCGACTGGAAACGGCGATGGAACGGGTTTGAACAGAGTAGTAACAGGTTTTATGGTAGTGGTGGTGGTGGTGGTGGTGTATGCAAATAGGGTTTAGGTGGTTTTCGGGCGACGCATTTCGGCGTTTTAGACGATAACAGTGAAGCTGCGCACCGATGGCAGTTTTAAAGCGGTTTTGATGGTTGCAGACGTACGGCAGCTCAACGAAGGAAGGTAAAGAGGTGGGTTGTAGGAGCGCAGACATCAATGCGCCCCACCCGCCCACAAAGCGCCACCGTACGTCGGCGAGGCGGGAGAGAGAAAAGGGGTGGGGGGCCGCACGAGGGCAAACACCCCAGGGTTGCAAGCCCCTAACACCCACAAAATGCCCTTCCCCCGCTCCACAGTCCACCTCCGTCCCCCGAGTAACGCATCCTCTTAAAACCCTGAAACAGTTCTCACCCTAAACCCCTAAAACCCAAAGCCATAGAAATGCAGCAACGCGGCACGTGAACTCCCTTCCCCCCCAAGAACCGCACTTACGTCATTTCCGCAGTGCTCCTGTCGCCAGTCGGCTCCCGTTGCTGCTGCTGCTGCTGCTGCTGCCCCGGCCCCCCAGCTCGCCCCTCTCCCCC